CTAGGGAATCAATTCCTTAGGACAGCCTCTTCCCTTCTTGCACATTTTTTTTACTTCTGGGAGTGTCTATTTACTCTCTGTGCTGACCATGTCCTCCACTCCTCCCCTCCCTGCATTACCTTTTTGTAGCTGCTGGAGGAAGAGGGAAGAGGAATACTATATAGAAGGGTTGGGCGCATTTGGCCTTCTAGCTGTTCTTTAGCTACAAATCCCAATATGCCTCTGGAAGTCATGCCTTTAACTGTCAGTCTTGCAATGCCTCATGGGACTTGTAGTTCCACAACAGCGGGAGGGCCGGAGTTTTCTACCCCTGCTATAGAGTGCCACTCTGCTGGGGCTGCTTACATTACATCCAAGTAGCAGTCTCAGGGTATCTGAATGTCTACAGGGATGCTTTAACAGATAAATAGCATATATAAGGGATCATTTCTGCCAGTGGGGGGCATGTCTGCAGTGACATTGACATGAATGGCACTGCCACGCCCCCTCCTGCTCCAGAACGCAAGGATACTTTGTGTATGCAATCCCTTGCATTCCGGGCATGAAACAGTGCAGTGAGCGCACGGGCTGGTGGAAACGAGCCTTAAAATATGTTAAATGCACCTATAATCTTATGGGAACATTTTTGTTGAAATGGCTGGTCTGGCAACGTGGTCTCTTTAACAAAACTCCTGCCTAATTGTTATACATTTTGATATTGGGCTCAATGATACCTTTTGCCACCGGATTTGATTTAGAATCATCTGTGACCACTTTATAAAAAACTTCAAATACTGAAGGAAATCTGGTCACTATTTACTAAAAAATTTGTTCCAACTGTTTGTCAGTAAGCAATCAGTATTTGATTCAGATGTTGACAGCAATAGACCCCATGCGGGTTGTATTTAGTCTCTGACTTTAGACTAGAGGAATGGTTCAAAATCCCTTTGATTTATTAACAATGAGGACGTTTCATAATTACTCATTTCCTGCACAATAAAACAGTTTTAAGTGTAAGTTATAAATAACTTTTATTTCTGTCAAAGGGTGAACTGTAATAGTTGTTATATTGGACACTATGCCCATTAACTGTATAGACACAAGACTAATAATTAGCTTTATTATAAAATGGACCTAAAGATCACATTTGCATTTAATAAAGCGGAACTCTGGAGATATAAATAAGAAAAATAACCCATTAAAGATTAAAACCAGCTTTTGCTGCAATATTCAGCTTCAATCCAAAGATTTCCATGCAGTATTTTTCTCTGCCACTAAATGTCCTCAGTCTGATGGTCAGCATTATCCAACCCACTTCCTCTGTGCCCAGGTCACTCTGGACATGTTCCAGTTTCTGACTGGACAGTAAATGGAGAAGCAGTACAGTAATGAGCTCATATCTCTGTCACTTTTCAGTACATAAACTGATTGGTGCCTTGTGCTGCTTCTTTCTCTCGCACCCCAGCTCTGCTATATAGGGACTTTAAGGCTGATACCAGGTCAAATTGAGTTACTTACCCTGATTGCATTTAACAATACATTTGTGCTGTTTTTCCCCACACATTAACATGTGCTGCGGTGGCAGCCCATTCAAAATTAATGGGCTGACAATGCATCTCAGTGGCCCAAATAAATTACCTGCACCTTTTCTAGCAGTACACCACAACACAACGCATGCTAGTGCATCGCTGCACGTTGCATTGTGCTGCATAGCACCTCCATTGGCAAGGTTTGCTGGGGTGCCATTCACAAAAACACATACTATGCATACTAAGCCACACATGCAGTCAAGAAACAGATATTATACATCATTAACAAAGGATTGCAATCATTTCCTTCAGTGCTTAACTTCTAGACTTAAGACTTAAGAGCCAGGGGCGTCCCGAGGCGGGGTTTCACCCGGACCAGCCACCTGGTGGCACCCTGCCATGACATCATACGCACGTAAGTGATGAAGTCACATGCTGTTACCTGCTGGTGGCTTGGTAATGGATGCCAGTGTTCTGTCGAAAGCGACAGAAGACCGGTAGTGAGAGGAGGGGACTTTCCCCCAGTGGGATAAGGTATGCCACTGAGTTCCCTCCTCTCTCGTAAAACTGTCGGGCTCTCGGTCCATGACCGAGTGCCCAACTTTTCAGAGGGTGTGACGCCAAAATGACACCCCCCTATTGACGCCACTGTAAAGAGTCCAAGGATATATTGCACTATTCTTTGTTAACCCAGAAGCTACTACTGATTACTTCACAAATAATTATTTATTTTGATTTTGCCACCTACAGTACATATTGTCTTAATTTGGGTGTATCGATAAGAGATGACTTTCGCAGCTAGTGCTTACCTTGTATTGCCTTGCAATGCAAGTCATCAAGACTTTTATTCACTCATACACACCATGTTAATTATTTAATGTTACAAATTCATTTATGTACAGTATATCAGGGGTAGGTGACCTTAACACTCCAGATGTGGTGAAACTACCAACATGCTTCTGCCACTGGGAGTCATTCCTATGGCTGCCATGGTCTTGCAAAGCCTCATGGGACTTATAGTTCCCAAACAGCTGGAGTGCCAAGGATGCCTACCCTTGGTGTATGTCATGGAGGCCAGACTGCGCAGACCAGCATCCTCTATCCACCGTGGAGTTCAGTCATGCTTTCTTCAGTTTTTTTTCCTGCGCAGTGTTCCTACGTCCTGGCAAATCACACATATAACATCAAAGAGAGTACCTTTACAAGGCATCCTAGATGCAATCTGTTGTGGCAATAGCCTTGATATAGCCCTGCACTCATGAATAAAATCATTTTTTTATGTGATAAAATAGCGAATAGCGATTGGAAATAGGAATTGGTTCAGTAATTCACTAATCAGGTCTGCCAGTGTTTGTGTGGAACTAAACTCTGAAAGCTGCACTAAAAAAAGAAGAAAGAGGGCAAAGAATTAGTCATGAGTATTGCCTGTGAACTCTCTGCAGCTCATATGTTCCCCATTTCTGACGTACCATGTTCTGCAGTATGTCGTTTGTATTTTCTGGTTTTATATTGAAGACTAAAGAGGATTACGATACGGTAGCAGTCTAATAACAAATATACAGCAAAATAGGGCACTTTCCAAGTTCTGGCAAAAGACAGTTAAGATACGCAGACTTACAAGTGTCGGGGTGCTCGAGGAGCGCTCTACAAACACATTCTCTTTGCTGCCCTCTCAACAGTGTGCTATGGTGATACTAGATGCACAATGCACCAACCTAGATGCAAGCTGGAACAGGGTCCTTTCCCAAACTTCAGCAGTCTCCAGGGGTATTCCAGATCATCCCTACCTTTTTGTGTCCCTCGAGAGAAACCTGTCCCTGGGTAAGACCTATCTCTCCCTAGCCTACATGTTCATTTTCCATATTTCCATACTTCCCACACTGCAGGGCACACCATGTGGTCACAACAGGGGGCTTTCTAACCTTTGTGGCTACTGAGAAACATTTTAAAATAAAGTTTTTTATCTGCAGTTAAGCTTTAAGCAGATGCATCTGTTGTTTGGTCTTTAGCTATTACCTAATAGAATATCTTATGCACAATAGATGTAAAGGATTTTAAAACCCCTCAAAGCAATAATAAAATAAAAAGCTATGACTGTGCAAACCAAAGTAGTACATAACAATTTCAATAACTGTACCTAGATCAGTATATGGTTAACTCTAATTTTTTTTTTCTCGTCTATTGGACTATGCCCCAGTAAACTGCCTTATTTAAGAAGCCTAGAAGTTGATAATTTTAGATAGAATGGGGAAGTACAAAAATCCTGTCAGGCTCCATTATAGAGATTTCCCTCATATACTGTTACTGTGATGACAATGTTTTCACTATACAGGAAATTAGGGAAATCTCTACCAACAGCACAGACAAAGTATGGGAAGACTAGAATCCCCCTTAGATTTGTGTTGCTTGTTGAAGATATTCCCTCACTTCATGTCTAGGAAAATCTCCCTAACACAGCCCCAGGTAGCAGTAAAAACCCTGCAGGGGTTCTAATTCTTCCCCTCCCACTTTACTGTTTTGCAGTATTTCACTAAACATGAAGTGTAATTACAAAAATCTAACTTAATTCGTTTTTTTAAAGTGTCTTTGTTCCTTGGCACAATCAGCCATATCCAAGGTATTTGTTGTTCTTTTGCAATGTATTGAAGAAGCTGGCTGGATGCTACAGACATTGGGGGTCATTGTAGACCATAAACTAAATAATAGATTACAATGCCAGGTTGCTGTAAGTAAAGCTAGTAGAGTCCCGTCCTGCATCAAGAAGGGAATGTTTTGCAGGGGCAAGTCTATAATTTTGCCACTTTACACATCACTGGTTCGGCCTCACCTGGAGTATGCGGTGCAGTTTTGGGCACTGGTACACAGAAAGGATGTCCTTGAGCTGGAGGGAGTCCAGCCGGAGGGCAACCAGACTCATCAAAGGGATGGAGGACAAGAGCTATGAGACACAGCTACTAAATTTAAATATGTTCACGCTGGAAGTAAGGAGATTAAGGGGGGACATGATTTTCATGTACAAAATGTTCCATAGTCATAGCGACATTAGCAACAAACTCTTCAAGATTAATTCCGTAACAAAGACTAGAGGACACCACCTGAAACTGGTAGAAAAAAAATTCAAACACAAGGGGCAAAGGGGGTTCTTCTCAGTTCTCGCGGTTAGGGTCTGGAACTCACTGCCACAAGCAGTGATTTCAGCTAATAGTGTGGAATCGTTCAAGAAGCTTTTGGATGATTTCCTGAGAAACGGTAATATACAGGGGTACAGGTACTCCTAATAACGAGATGACACAGGGACCCATACACACACACACACACACAATAGGTTGGACTTGATGGACATATGTCTTTATTCAACCTCAAATACTATGTAACTATGTAACTATGTAACACAGATATGCTCTGCCACATTTTATGCATGAGGACCAGTATGTTTTAATTAGAAGATCTGAAAGTATAATTAATACATGTCTGGCATTTATATTTTGGCAGGAATAAAAGAAGTTGATCAAACCATAACTGTACTTCTTACAACAAGTATGTTTGTTGGAGGATTCTTTGGCTGTCTACTGGACAATACTATACCAGGTAAATTTTCAACATACTGTATGTATTTTTGTGGTATTGTACACCTGTGTCCTTACCAAGGTTTTAAACTCACTTGGTGGGTAATCAGACCCAAGTGATGAAGAAGGAAAAGCCTACTCAACAAAACAATTCACACCTCTTTGCACCTGTTTAATAGTCAGACACATTACTCATATTTAGCATTACTTGAGAAAATAACAAAAGCAGAATTATAATTGCCGCTTACTGTAGAATGTGCTCTGCTTTGAGGGTGGCTTAAACAAGTGAATCTTAAATAAGCCTTGGGTTTATTTACAAATAGGGATATACATACATTCTAGGTACAATTAAGGGAATTGAAGAAGGAATTTGGAGGGGGTCAGAAAGGATAGGAATTAAGGTTAAGATCCTACAGCTAACACCACATTCTCTCTCTCTCAGCCACACATGCCATGGGTTTTTCTCTGTGCTCAGAACACTCCTCTCCAGCAGGTCTCAGCGAATTAGATTCTTGATTGTAGAGTCCAGAAAGGCTTGTCTTGTCCAAGAGGTCACCAAGGTTACCATTGTTCCTGCTTGTGAGCTAGGTTAGTGCAGATGATCACAAAGGAAGAAGGTTCCATCATATACCCCTGCCCCCATCCCAGCATGTACGCTTCCTTGCTGACACAGGTGTGGGCAGTAAATACCAGCAGGGGGTTGGGCTTGCCCCAGGAGATGACAATCTGGCAGATCTTCATCCATCAGTGTCCAGAACCCTTTGGTGGTCCTCATTTGCGTATCACACAGCCCCGTGCTGATTCAGTTCAGGATATCAAGGAACACCTTTATATCAAAGCTGTATCATAAATGTCAATTGTATCGGTTCCAACACTTACCCTCTTTTAAATTACCCATCCATGGATCTTCCGCAACCACCACCAGATATGCTTCTACCACCCCAAACAATTCTACATTGAATGAGTTATCTTTTGTACATTGTTTTTCAATGCCACTTCTATTCTTTTTATGTTACTTTTTTTAAATGAACACCCCTTTTAAAAGTTATATTATAAAGGGTACTTTTTTATTTTTCTTGACAACCTGCAAGAGAGTTTGAGTGTCTGATTGACTAAGAAACAGCAAAAGTTTTACTTTGTAGTAGAATAGCTTTTAGGAAGAGTCATACAGGGTTATTCACAAAAGGGTGAAGAGTTTGGATAACGCAGGAGAAGTGAACAATCTGCAAAGTGAGTTGAATTGGAGAATTTTTCCAAATAAGCTCTTTTGGCCTAAATTGTTCACTTCTCCTGCCTTCTCCAAAACTCTTCACCCTTTTGTGAATAACCCTGATAGTCTTTTTCACAGACGCCTAATCCCTGTGCAATGCAGCACCATACTTTGTGTATTAGACTGATTTTGCAAATCCTTACAGTGTATGCATAGGAATAATTTTTTTTGTTTTAAATAGTAGAGTAGAGAAGGGTTTAACGCGTTTCCTGCCGCTGACATATCGGTGGCGACAACAGGGTCCTGTTAGCAGACTTGCTTACACGTGTAAAGCTGACTATCAGCTTTAAAGTGGAAGTAATTCTCCTCACTGAACAGTATTTTTTTTAAATGTTTCCATTGATACATGTTCCCCATGGCAGTGCCCAGCTACCCTTACCCTTTTTTAGCAAAAGGTTGCATATTGGCTTTCAAAGGCTTTCAAAGGCCCAAAAAAAAACAAGGTTCCCATAGACTTCAATGAGGTTCACCGCTTTTGAGGTTTGAGGATTTCCTGCTGGGTTTGAGGAACATCCATCGAACTGAGCTAAGCTCAGTTTGCTTAGTACAATTTCACAGATTTGAAACATGCTTGCATATCACTTATTGTTAGAGAAAAGTCTGATATCCTTCTCTGCATACTTGTTCAGGAATAATGACTCAAACTAGTGACGCAAGAGAGTCAGCATGACTGCCAGGCATCTAATATTTGCAAACTGAAAAAATGTGCACAGCGAAAACTTTGTTTTGTTTCATTATTTCGTATTTCAGGATTCGGGTCTGAAAGTTAATTTGTTTCGGGAATTCGGATTTGGATGAATACAAATGTTTTGGTAATTTTGGATGAATTCAACAACAATTACGAACAAACATTCCTTGCAGAAAAGTGACATTAAGGGGGTTATTCACAAAGCTGCCGAAGGCAGCCGTGTGAATAACCCAGCCGAAGTGAAGCGAGCCGAATGCTGTTTGGCTATTCACTGCAGCCTTGTACCATGTTGGGCTGAGCCGAAGTGCAGAAGGAGTTCGACTCAGCCAATCCAACATCTGGATTGGCTGAGCCGAAGCTCCGGCAACTCACTCGCTGCCGTTTGCCCCTATTCTCATAGGGGCAGAATGGCAGTGAGTGAATAGCCGAATCCCGCCGAGCGGAATTTGGTTCGGCTATTCTGCTCTGTACCTCCCAGATTTAAAAATACGTGAGAAGAATTTTTTTAAAAAGGTAAAAAAAAAAGTTTTAAAAATGTTAAAAAATAGGAATATTTTAAAATTAATATTATTTTAAAGAAAAAAAAAAAACAAATAAAAAAAAAAACGCCGCACACCGCCTCAATCGCATGCGACGGACCCCTGCCACATAATGAAGCATCTGATAGATACCGGCAAAAGAAAACCAATTGGGCGAGCTAGTGGTGACGGCTAGCTCTATCCAACAGTTTCCTATTGGCCGGCACATGCCAGAGTCTTCTAGCAGGTCCCAGCCAATAAATAACAACTGGACGGAGCTGGCCATGACATTTCGGCTGGCTCCGCCCAGTTGTTATTGTTTAATGACAGATCAGTGTCCACCGGACAGTTGGGGACGCTGATCTGTCATTACAACTGGGCGAAGCGAGCTGTGAGATCACGGCGGGCTCCGCCCAGCTGTCATTTGCATGGAGATCGGTCGGCTTCGGCCGACCTTTCTCCACGCTTTGGCTGTCATTCGGCTCAGTCAAGCTTAAGCATATGCCTTTGGCTCGGGTGAGCAGCTCGGCTGCCTTTGGCTGCTGTTCAGGCTATTGTGAATAGTCCGTACAGCAGCCCTTCGGTTCAACTGAAGGGTAGAAGCAGCCGAAGAAAGCCAAAGGATCAGCTGAAGCTACGGCTGAATCCTTCGGCTCTTTAGTGAATAACCCCTTAAATGTTTACTTTGTTTCTTTTTAACTTTTGACAGTCCACAGAAACAATACAAACACAGCCCGCAGTTCTCCCCAGCAATTCATACCAGACCATTTAGGTCTGGTAGGATTTTAGAGGGGACCCCAATGCACAAAAATAACAAAAAAAAGTGTGGGGTCCCCCCTAAAATCCCTTTCCATATCTTTGATTGAGCAGTAGCCTGGCAAAGCAGGCATTTGTGTGTTTATTTACAATTATTTTACTGTATTTGGTATATGAGTAGGGGTAACAACTATCTATTTCTCATTCACAATGGGGAGTGGGATCTGGGAGCCCCCTTTATGATGATTCCTTTAAACCCCCCTGCCCGAAGACCCCCACAACCAACAGGCTAGGGTTGCAGGGAAGAGGCCCTTGTCCTCATCCGCATGGGGACAAGGTACTTTTCCAGGGGGTCCTGTAAAGGACTTTTAGCTACCTGATCCCCACAAAGTGAGCACCAAATGCCAGAGGAGCAGGGATTGGGTTAGTAACAGTTCTTTTCACAGGTACCCTAGCCCTAAACAAGTAGTTAGCTCCACTGCCATGGAAGTTTTTGTTTCCTGGAGATAGGTTTTAAGCTCTATGCAAGATCACAAATATGCAAAAAGAGAATTTGGAAATATACTACATCCCTACATGGGTAAAGTTGGGGTTTCAATATCTACACATATCTACCAATTACCCTCATTTTTAAGAACTCTGCACAGGTACCCTTTCAAATTGAGATATACTATTCTGCTTGATACTGTTGTCTGTTTTAGGTAGCAATAGTCCGCCTGTGAGCACAATATATATTTTTTTGGCTCTGACCAAGCACTTTTGGAAAAAAAAACCAGTAAGTGTGTTCCATGAATCATCACGAACCAACCTTAACTACTGTTTGAATATAAAACTTGTGTGCTTAAGTATCTGATCTTAGGATGTTTCTCTCCCAACCATCTTGCATGTTTTGGCTAGCAACCAGCATTGGGCAATAAATCATTTATTCAGACAGAAATGATGATCTTGTTTCTTATTTCCGCTTAGGTTCAGATGAAGAAAGGGGAACTTCAGCTTGGCATAAACAAATGCATGCAGGGAAAACTAATGGCAGTGTAGGACAATCTTGTTATGATCTGCCTTTTGTCACTAAATATCTAAGAAAGCTTTCTTGGAGTCGATACATTCCATTCTTACCAACATTTCAGATGAATAGGAACTAGCTGACCTCTTCCAACAAGTTGTGTTGCATAAACTACAGCCACAGGATCAACATCTGAGAAATTACCAGATGCAAGGATTATCAGACAATACTTTTGCCAAATGAAATCTACCCTGCTTTTTTTATCAAATAATATAGTATAAATACTTCATTTTCCATGGAGAATGCTGTGGACTGCCAGAACACCATTTGTACAACAATTGATTATAAAAGTGAGATGATATCACATTTTGAATGCATAATAAATACACAAATAATTTCAAATTTGTAACCTTCATTTTTTTAAAGAGTTTTTTCCCTATTACTGACTTACCCTGCTTTGTTCTTTGTGTGTACCTGTATGGAGGCAGCAATCTTAGTAGAGGCAAGCTTTACTTCTTCATGTCATAAGCAGCACAGAGGTGCCATCACCAAATCGCATGAGACTATTAGTCAAAGACAGCAGAGCCTTAGGTCTCACATTACAGATATACAGGCTGTGGGCAGAAATGTGCCCTTACGTACCAGGGGGTGCATTGTAAATTCAAAAAGAGTACTTTTAGTTCAGTTACACTTTAAGAGAAAACTTTAGCCTGTGAACTTTGTAAGGGGAGAAAAGAATGTATAATAAAGCAGTCCTATGAGTCACTTGGCATTCCAGAATATTACTTCAACATTTTTACTGATGTGTGTTATCTCCCATTGTACTCTGAGGGAGCTCAGAACAATGACATTCTGGCCAAGCGCCGGCTATGGCTGTCTGGAGTTCGTTAGCAGGTGGACACCTGTGGTGTTGAGCAGACCGATTGTGTGGGAGGGGAGGGTGGATGTGATGGGATTATATTCTAATTTCATCACTTGCTGTATAAAAGTTTGTGCAGTTGCTCAATAAATCAGAGTTTGTTTCACCTACACTCAAGCCTTGGCTAGTGACTGGGGAAACTGGGAGCTAAGGATCTTCAGGTTGCAATATCTCCTCAGCAAGGAAGAAGACCGCGGCGGACATACTCATCCTGAGTATGGGGGTCCGTCACATAGGCAACTTGTAATCCAAAGGGAATAAACAAAACAGTGTTTAAAGCAGCAAACGTCAGGCATCCAGAGATCTTCTTCCCCAACAGCTCATTAAAACCCCAAGAACCCCAAATCCACAACCTCAAAAAAGTAGATTATTACATGCAATCAATAAAACAAGGATTATACATAGAACAATATCGGACCTCTGAAAAGTACAAGCATGCATATGTACTCAGTACTTGGTTTGGGCCCCTTTTGCAGCACTTACTGCAATTACTTTTGCACGATATTCTAATTATTCGAGTTTCACCTGTATATTGCGTTTTGTCTGAATCTGGAGTTCTTCAGAGTTCTCCATTAAGCCTTTGTGGTTATGCTGTAATGCTGCATGTAATGCTAAGATCTTAGTACTGGAATTTGGTAAAACAACTTACAAATTATTTGGAAACACTCTTGTTTGAAAACACATTTGCTTAGAATACTGTCTGACATGTTTGACAAAATAACAACTGAGCAGTTAGGTATGTTGGCAGATACATTGTTACATAAAAATGGGATGGAAATCTGTGTGGTAAATTGTTTTGCCATTAACTGTTTGTCATATTTGCAAAATGCGAACAGAACTAATAACTGTTGTGTATATTGTTATACTGACTAGAGGAAAAGTATTATGCAAATAATTATTGAAGGCATAAGACTAAAGAGATTATACTGTAATGGATGGCAATACTTCTATAAAGAATTGTAGGTAGACTATCTTAAAATATGACTTCAAAATGATCTGAAGATATTATATATCATATTAGAATTTCAATATAATTATAGATAACCTTTCTTTAGGTCTGCTTCTATAAAGAAACATACTATGGCAGTACAAAATAGAAAAATATTGATCTCCTAAAGTAGACTGATACACACCAGGGTCAAGCAAAATATGAAATCTGGTGCACAATGCCTCAGTCAGCGGCACTGTAAGGTCTTAAAAACAATACAAATAATAATTATCATTTATATCCAATAAAATAACTGTAAAAACCTACTCACAGCTTCTTAAAATGAAAGCAAGAGCCCCTCACCTGCTCCCTTTTTTTACAGGGAGGAGGCACATTCCTTGGTGGTTCAGTGGTTGATTAGTATAGTCTGCACCTTTGGCTGATGCAGACCTTACTAATTCTTCCCAGTGCTCAGTGAAAGCTTACTCACACTCAGTGCCAGCACCGCTAGGAGCAACTATGCTGTCTGAATCTAACAGAGATGCAGACTGTGTAGCTGCTCCCCCAAGTCAGGGACGTGGTCTGTGACTGCGTGCCTGACTTGTCAGCTGACAGCTGACAAGTGGGCCACATGGTTACGGGTGGGTACTTTGAGACCTCTAGGTTAGAACCTCATTTTTCTTTTCTGTCTGTGTTCTATTTAGGTATTGTCACCCTGCCTATTTGTCCTAGTGACCCTTGGGTTGAAAGTGATGGAAAATTAGAACAGGAAGAGAGGGGATGTCTTCCAATGGAGGCAATTGTTGCAGTGACAACTGCCTGAACGTGGCTATACACCTATTATTCAATTATCTGCAGATTTTCTATGGTCAGATGGAAAAAATGCAACAGATTCCTCCATCTACGCTAAACTGTGGGGATGGAGGAATTTCCTGCAGGGCCAAGCTTCAGTATCTTGCTAGTCGGCCCTGCTGGCTATCAAAATACCTGAACAATCTGATTGGATGCAGGCATTGTTCAGGTGTTTTAAGAGCCAGCTGGGCCGACTAGTGAGATACTGAAGCTTGGCCCAGTGGGAGATTCCTCCATCTACACAGTTTAGCATAGATGTAGGAATCTGTTGCACTTTCTCCATCTGACCATAGAAAATCTGCAGAAAATCTATAGGTGTATGGCCAGCTTAAGAGAGGATTTTCCTTTCCTTTGAGGCATTTCCTGTTATCACTTCCTGTTATGCCTTGAGACATGAAGTGAAGCAAAAGTTCCAAATAAAGTTTTGGCTTTAAGACCCAACCTATTAACCACTGTAAAAGAAATCTGGGTTTTATAAAAGACCCCCTTGATATCTTCCCCAGTACATTATATTCTCCATTCTCACATCCACTGAAAAGAAATACATTTGGATTCATGCAGGTCAGTAAGATTAAGTGTAAACTGGGTATGTCTGGAAGATTGTGAGATATAAGGCAGATGAAATCAGCCAGAGACATTAATTTATAGGTTAAAAGATTAAGCGTCAAGTAATAGTAAAGTGCCCTGTGAAAAGCGTGCAAGCATAAAACTTGGAAATACCATTTATAAACCTTTACTATGCGATGTCCCAAGGCAGCGCTGCCATTGACAGTGTTAAGTGCTGCAAAGTCTTTCTATGTTGACTGCCTCCTCCTCTGCATATAATTCTGATTATTATGTATGGAGTAATGTTGAGGTGATATAAAAAAAAAGAACATCATGATTATCTGTATATTGCTAAATGCCGACTCAAGATCTAGATGAACAAGCATAAGTACTGGCCATTGTTGTGTCATGCACCTGTATTGTTATGCTTGCTCTTACAAGAAATTCACAATTGGAATATGGGTGTAATCATTTTGGGAGATTCTAATTTGTGAGGTAATACTAATCACTAAGAGATAAATGAAAACATCAAAGTGTATTGAACATCAAAGATATATTTACAAATGGTTCCATCTACAAATAACAGCATGTTCCTTACTGGAAGTTGCAGCATTTTAGTAAAAAAAAGCACCTAGGATTATAGCTAAGGGATTTAAGGCAAATTGATTTTGCCACAAAAATACAGATTTCTGTTTTTCCAAAATATCATAGAAATAGGACTCAAATTTCTCCATGCAGCGCTGTTTAAAGGAAAACTATGGGGCAACCTTTTGTGCCCTATAGTTCTCCTCAGGTTCATGGAGGACATATAGCGTGTCCTCCAGTGTCCCAAAACTCAGTATATAGCGGGCTACTGCACCAGACCTTACTAATCAACCACTATATTACCAGGGATTGTGTAGGTGATGGGGTTTATTTTATTTTATCTGTGGGGGGGACGAGGGGATGTGTACTATTCTGTGTATGTGTGTGTTATATTTTATTTGCAGGGGACAAGAGGGGAAGGGCAAAACAAGGGGGTATATTATTCTCTGTGTGTTTACGTATTCCTCTAAGTGTGTGTTTGGGGGGGGAATGTATTTCTCTATGTGTGTGTGTATATTAGGTCCCATTCACACCTGTAAGTTTAGGTGCGATTAAGGGATTTCTGCATCAGGAATTTGAGCTTTCCTGCATCACGAATCACTAATATAGCGTTTACAATTGGCAGCTGTCACCCATTCAAGTTAATGATCAGGTGACAGCCACTGCATGTAAATGCCTGCACACCGCATGTAATGGTATGTGATATGATTACATGCAATTACGTGCATATATTGTTCCTGGCAATATGGCATATGGAAATATTGCACTCTAATAATCTTTTATTCCAGAAAAATAACGACCTCACCACTGGAATGTGGTGTTGTGATTTTGAAGTGTTTCTGTGTACTCTGTTTTGACATTCTTTTAAGACAATACAGTGTACTGTGAACAAAAAAGCTATACTATGAAACTGTTTTGCCACTGGCATATTGGTGCGAAGTAGGGGGCTTTAGGTTTTTTTGAAAGAGTAAACTTTCCTATAGCTTTTAGATCTGTTGTAGTTTCTACTTCCTCCATTCAATATAGGCTTTTTACTGCTGAATAAAAACATTAGGTATCACTACCAAACTACCTTAAATAGCATTTTTGTAAGTTGAAATGAATCAGATTCTTGCTAGATTCAATCCAAGGAATAGCGTAAAAGTAAAATAGACTCTTACACATGCTAAATATGTCATGCCAGAATGTGGTGGACACTTTCCTTGAGACGTGTGCGGTTCTGTAAAATTTCATAGAGCTTACAGGCATCTCTCAAGCAAGGAATGGTATTTTTCTCATCTCCTCGTTGAAGTTGCATAAAAAAGAGGACCCACTTGAATGTTATAGATTATTTTTTTTGCATTGGTCCCCCCCTCCCTATTGCAGTACACAGCTCCCCTTGCTCATTGTTTTACAAACCCTTGCCTATTAGCCTTGAAAATGGGCACAATTGATTTTCAGGTTTTGCCTGTCGTTGACCTATTTCCAGCTTAAGATAGTACTTATA